TGCCACCTATTGTAGTTTTTTTTTTTTACATGTTTACTGCATTAATATAAATTCTGATCCTCAGAATAACACCATGCTATTTTCTTTTGACAGCCATTTTACCAAGCTGTTAATTTGAACCTAATTCTTGAAAAAAAAAGACATATGTCTTTCTTTTTCAGTTATTCAACCTTATAAGTAATGAGACAAAATAATATTAATCCTTATCAATATGACTCATAAGGAAATCATATTTACTAAAATGAAAGTAAACAGACTTTAGGCTTACAGGACCTATTGTTTGCAAGAACCTTAAGGGGGTTCTTATTCAAATTTGTCAAGCTGTTTGCCATCAGAAATCTGCTTCCTGACTATTTCTTTGATAGACCTGGCTCAGACATGCTTATTTTCCTAAATCATGGCTGTTTCTTTCAAGCAGCCTATTGAATATTGTTCTACTTAACTCAATCTTTCTGCATGTGCAGAAGGATCGCTTCCTACTCAGCCTCTGAAATAGTTGATTCAGCCTGCTACTGTACTTCTGTAATGGTAGCTGGTTATCTGACTGCTCCAAAAAGCCAGGCTCATCCTCCAGCATGTTTTTCTATTTCTGAGCCTCTGTCTACAGATAACTGAGATCCCAGTGGCTCTTTTTCTCTAATTCAAGGTATGACCCATCACAAAAGCCCATAACATATGTTAAAATCTGCTTTGCTAGGGTATACAGGACAGTCTGCAGTAGCGTGCCTTGCTAAAATACCTTACAGTTCAGTCTTACCTTAAATATTTTTTTAATTCATAAATATGTATGCGTGTATTTATGTATATATGTGTGAGTTAGTAAATAATAACTAAAACAACAATGACATAGTAATTGTATCAGTTTGGAAATGCTTCTATATTTTCCATGGATATGTGTTTCTTCTGTAAAGAGAGAATTACAGTGGAATTATGGAACATAAGAAGCAGGGACAGAAGAAAGCTCAGCACAATAAAATATGAAATGAAATGACTACAGATTGACAGTTTAGGTTTTGGCAAATACAGATTGACTGGGATTCTTCTTCTTCTTCTTGTGCCATATCCGTTATCGGATGTTGGCAATCCTGTTTTTATCAGCAGCCGCACAAAAAAGTGCTGCTGAGTTTTGTCCAAACCAGTCCCTTAGATTTTGAAACCACAATGTTCTTTTTCTGCCTGGACTTCTGCCTTCAATCTTTCCCTGGAGGATTAAATGGAGTATGCCGTATTTTTCTGGTGTCGCATCACATGTCCAAAATATTCTAATTTTCGTTTTTTAATTGTTTTGATGATTTCCCTTGGCTTTCCCAGGCGGCTTATCACCTCCTCATTTCTGATCTTGTCAACCCAGCTTATACGTAACAGCCGCCTGTAAATCCACATTTCAAATGCTTCTAGTCTCTTCAGGTGGCCTTCTGTCAGAGACCAACTCTCTACTGCATAGAGCAGGATAGAAAAAATATAGCATCTGACAAGCCTGGTTTTCAGTCTTAGGCTTATGTTGTGATTGCAGAAGACCTTTTTCATTTTGAAGAATGCTGTTCGAGCATCCCTGACTGGGATTAGATATAGTTAGAAGATCACACTTTATAATTCAGGACATGGAGAAGAAAGAACATAGTTGCTTTTATAGTTAAGAAGTATCTAGGAAGATCAGTACTTGGCTACAATGCAATCAGTGACTAAATAGTATCAGTTAGATTTTGTGGACAGTTCTTGAATATGACAGTCCACGTTTATGCTCTAACCACTGATGGAGAAGAAGAGGAGGTTGGTGAGTTTTATGATCAAATTCAACTTGAAAGTGACAGAACATGGAAGCAAAATATTCTGCTTGTGATTGGAGACTGCAATGCCAAAGCTGGAAACATTAAAGAGGAAAATGTAGTTGGATTGCATGGTTTAAAAATCTGAAATGAAACAGGAAACCAACTTAATTAATTTTGGCCATTTCAATTTTTATCATAGTTAACACTTTCTTCAAATAACCAAAATGACATCTCTATATGAGGCCATTAGATAGAGTATATACCGGTAGAAATCAATTTGGTTATACAGGTAGTCTTCATTTAGTGACAGCCTCATTTAGTGACTATTCACAGTTTGACAGTGATGAAAAAGTAACTTTGCCACCAACTTTCATATTTATCACCTTCACAGGTCTAAAAAGTAAAGTAAAGCTAAAGTAAGATAATAAGCACAGTTGCTATTTCACTTAGTTACTGCTTCGCTTAATGACCAAGTTTATTATTTTTTATTATTACTAAAAGGAATGGAAAGGCTCAGTTATAGCATCAAAGGCATGGCTGATGCTGTCTGTGGAACAGGTCTTGAACTGCCCACGTGCAAGATCCAAGTTAAATAAGTAAAAGAAAGCCAACCACTTTCCATGATACGATTTTGAACATATACCCATCATGTTCAAAGAGGGACATCGGGAATCACTTTGAAACCCTGAACCTCATTGATAAACCAATAAGTCAAACAAATGGATCATTGCACAAATCAAGCCATGCAATTCTCACTTGGAGCACAAATGATTATGCTTAAATTATCCTACTTCAGACACATTATGCAAAGACCTAGCTCTCTGGAAAAGGCTCTAATGATGAGAAAAGTGGAAGGAAAGAGAAAAAGAGAAGAACTAATAGTAAGGTGAATAGACTCTGTTACACTGGCTATAACTGCACCGTTGGAGGATCTAGAAGTTAGGGACAAATCTAAGTGTGTGGCCAATAAGTGTCGACACTGACTTGATGGCATATAATCAGACAGTATTTTTCTTAGGAATACTCTGAGCCAGTAGTGTCAGAAATACTGACTATAAACATACATAAGGATCCCTGGAGGTTGCATATTGACTTTGATAACCACATATTTCTTTTTTTATTAATGCATCAACACAACAATTGGATAGAAAATAGATTTAACACATAAAAAAGAAACAGTATTACAAATTTGACAATCTATATTCAATATTTGTGTGTGTAGATTGGAATGTTTTCCACCCCATTCTGAGCTTTTTCCTGGCCTACTTCCAAATTATCACACAAATAATTTCCACATCTCCTACTTCAACTTATCTCCTCTCTGCTATGTTCCTTCTACTTTCTGATATCTCATATGTGGGGAAAAAATATTTTGTGCAGCTTTTTCTAAACCAAGTACAAATTCGTGTAGCACAGTACAAGAATATTGTGCAAAGAGTAAATTGCAAATATATATAATAATGACATATTAAAATTTTAATGTATTTAATACACTTTTTCATGCGGCTGCTGATAAAAACAGGATCACCAACATGATCGCCAACGTCCGATAATGGATATGGCACAAGAAGAAGAAGAAGAAGAAGAAGAAGAAGAAGAAGAAGAAGAAGAAGAAGAAGAAGAAGAAGAAGAAGAAGAAGAAGAAGAAGAAGAAGATTTCTTAGTTAAAGTACAAAACATAGAAAGTATTATAGTACATGATATTAGGGTTGCCAGGTGTCCACTATTTGAGTGGACAGTCCGCTTTTTTCACATTATGTTCACATTATGTTCACTATTTTTTTCACAGATTACGTACCATTTCATCATAAAGCTTTTGAATAAAAAAAAAATGTCCACTATTTTTTTTCACAAAATAGTGGACATTTTTTTTTTATTCAAAAGCTTTATGATGAAATGGTACGTAATCTAAAGCTGTACAGTCTACTTTTTTTGCTACTTAACACCCCCCCCCCCCCCGCTTGTCCGCTATTTTTTGGAAGCAGACCTGGCAACCCTACATGATATACATGCTGGAAAATTTTTCTTTCAAGTCATTTTGGATTTCTGGCAACTGTTTCTTGCACTATTCTTGACAGCATATTTCAGAAGTGACTTGAAAATTCTTTCTTCCCAAGGGTGAGAAAAGTAACTGCCGTAAGATCATCCAAAGGCAGGACTAGGAACTTATCATCTCCAAGTTTCTAATCTGACACTTTAACTGTACCAAATGTACATGTCTACAGATTATAATACAAAGTCATAGTCACTGATAACTGCAGTCACTATTTTCTAACCATTTAGTCCTCCCTCCCTCCCTCCCTCCTTCCATACTAATGAAAATAAAAATAAAAAGGAAAACATACAAAATGCATTTGAATCACCGTTCTCTTTCATTTTTCCCTATTTGTTCCTTCTTCTCTGGATGTATTCTGAACTTCATTAACTTTTAATTATTATTATTAATTTAAAAATTGAAATTTTGATCACGAATGTCATGCAGCCTGAACAGATACTAATTCAACCTTTTTTGAAGGGAGTATAGAAATTACTTCAATCTGCTTTTATGCCTCGGGGGCTCTGAGGTCCAGAGTGGGTCAGCCACTAGTTCAAGGCCAATTGGCTACCTGCTGTTCAGGGAAAAGCACGAGCTTGCTACCTCAGCTTAACTGTAGCAGCCCAGGGTGCCTGAGGTTTCTGCAGAGCAGACTGAGAGGGAACTCCTGTCATGGTGATCTTTCTCAGCCTCCACTATGGCAACAATCTTTGCTGCTGCTACGGTATTAAGCTGAGGCAGGGAGCTGATGCAGGACTCCTTGCCAAGTTGCAAGCCCAGAGTTTTGGTGATTGGTGACTAAATTAATTATTTAGTTTTAAAACGTAATGTTTATATTTTGTTATATTTTTATTGTATTTTCTTAAATGTTACCCAGCTGCATTTTAATCCAGTTCAGCCCACACCTGGGACTTTTGTGGGCCACATGCAGGCTGCATGTTTGACACTTCTGCTCTGGTCTATAGAGTTGTTGTTTTCATTATTTCTTAAGAGGGAAATTATAAATTGTTTCAACATGCTTTTAATATAATTTCAACAGGAATTTTCCTGTAATCTCCACACTAAATAGAGATAGAGCAGCAGCTATAAATAATATTATGATACAAATCGAACAAAAAGCACATGTCTTTCAGTGGGAAATAAGCAACCGTTTGGATTTCTCTCACTGTTTTGGGTTATGACAGGATGAACTGGATGAACTCCGGGCTGAAATGGAAGAGATGCGTGACAGCTATCTTGAAGACGATGTTTACCAACTACAGGAACTTCGACGAGAGCTGGATCGTGCAAACAAGAACTGTCGTATCTTGCAGTATCGTCTCAGGAAAGCTGAACAGAAAAGCTTGAAAGTTGCACAGACGGGTCAGGTGGATGGAGAACTAATCAGAAGCTTAGAACAAGATCTAAAGGTAGGTGAAGAACTTAGACCTAGTGGTATTTAGGCAGAATAAAGTCTTCTGCCTAATTGCAAAATGTATGTTATCTTGACATTTCAGAATTAGAACGAGAATTACATTTTATATATGGGAATCAAAGAGTTCTTTGTATTGTAAATGTCAATTTATTTATTAATTTGATTTCTACCCCAATCTCATAACTCTGAAAGAATACATAGATATCCAAGTGACCCCTATGACAAAAATGTCTTACTTATAGTAGGTATGCTATTTCATGTATAGGACAACCAAGCTACAATTGTTTATGTATTGGTCATCTCACATTTTGATAACTATAATGTGTTCTATATGGGAAACTTGGGTCCCTTTTGGAAACAGTACCTTGTCTAGAATACAACAATGAAGTAGCTGACTGAGGCACCTGTCCATACACATTGATCAACTTGTTTTGAAATAACTGCACTTGATAACTTTGTTACGAAGCCAGGTTTAACCTAGGTTTTCATATATTGATATAACTTAATTCATTTATTCATATATTGATATAACTTAATTCATGTATTCATTTATTAGAATTATATTCTGCCTTTAGTTTGCACAATTCAAGGCAGTATTCATAATGCTCTTCTCTCCTGTTTTCCAATACTGTAACAACAACCCCATTGAGACCACAATAATTAATGGGTCTGGCCTATCATTAAATTTATCAGAGGAAAGCCTGCTACATATACTCAGACAGGCTTTTTCTATGGTGGTGTCTGCACTCTTCAATATTCTCATCAAAGTTTTGTAAGGCAACAAATATTACATGTTTATATTCAGTTGAAGATCAGTCTCTTTGCCTAGATTTTCCTTTTATGAATGTTGGGTAAATAGTTCTGTGCTGTTTCTTTCCTTTTTGTTCACTTTCTAATAAATATTTTAAATCTGTTTTTAAAACATATATTTAATAATTTTATGATATTGTTTTGAGATACTTAAAGAGATATGGAAATATATAAAATAAATAATGTAAAAGGGCATGTTTTAATACTGTATAATTGTACTTTAAAACTTAGAAACACTTCTTAAATGAGGTGCTACCTTTCTAATTTTAGGGAAATGTTCCTATGAAGTAGCATTGAAATATCCCTTCCATTATGTGTATTTTGAAGGACTGTGTTATAAAATGGTTCAGAACTGGCCCTAGTTTTTCATTGCTTGAATAAATACTTTTTCATTGCTCCAAATTGTACTATTAGACGAACAAAATACTACATGTATATAGCAAGGTTCCTTTCTACTATATTGTGATAGGTACTTTCTCTGTAATAATACAGATATTTTCTTAATTGAAAAAAATGGAAACCAAATTTTATATGATTTATTATGTTATACTAAATATGATATTAATTTGTTTTATACCTCAAGAACTTAACCTTGTAGTTTACATTAACTTAAGAATATTGTGGTATAATTAATTTAAGAATATTGTGGATAATACTATCTTCAAGTTTAAATTTGTTTAACGCTAATATATTACTACTACTACTATTATTACTACTAATAATATGTGATTATTAGCACATAATTGTATTTTTACAGTTAGCATTTTTCACTTTTCATTTCAGAATGAAACAGAAGAATTTAAAGAATTGAGGTATTATAGAAATAACATGTAAATCGTCTGGATAATGGACGGCTTTATTTAAAAGTTTTTATAGGATATTTTGGAGAAAGAAATGTATATATAATAATTGGCCATATTTGTTATGATCTCTGTTTTCTTATACTGGATTTGGAAGAGTTTTTTCTTTACCAGGAAGAGCACTTGTTCCTTTCATAGCACTTCAACCAGTGGAAAAGAGAAAAAAAATAATTTGTTGATATTTTCCCATGACTATGTACTACTTCCACATTGCTTTGTAGATTCAAACCATCATTTATCTATTCTTTATTTAGGTAATGAAAAGTCTTTTTAAGTTATTAAGTATGATTGTGTGCTTTTTAAAAAAAACATAGGTAGCCAAAGATGTATCTGTCAGGCTGCACCACGAACTGGAAAATGTGGAGGAAAAGCGTGCTAAAACAGAGGATGAAAATGAAGTTCTTCGTCAACACATCATTGAGGTGGAAATATCCAAACAGGCATTGCAAAATGAGCTAGATAAATTGAAAGAGGTAAGTGGCAACAACGTTACTTTGGGGATTAGAAATAAAGCGAAAAGCTGTCATAGCACTTGTCAATGCTTGCAGTGTGAGGGATATGGGCAGTTTTTAAATCTGATAAACAAACAGCAAATTGGATCCTATATTAAAACATACATCAAAATGACAAACTACAGGCATGGATCATTTAAAGAACAAATTAGTATAGAACATTTTAATTTGTTGTCTGTGGATCAGGCCACCAACTACTAATCACAGAAACACACATCAGGCTGATAAAGGAGAATATTTGTAGCTCAGGGTTGACATGAGGGGTCCTTGGTGCTCTCTGAGCTTGCTTGTTTTCTTGCAGACATTTCATTACCCAAACTAGGTAGCATCATCAGTGCTAATAAGGGATGGGGTTTGCTCTCAGTTTATATTCCAGTGGCTTGCCTTGTCAGTGTTGGTGGGAGTGGCCTTGGAGGGTTGTTTACTGTTAGCGTGACTGGCAGTTCCTTGATTGGAGTATTGTTTACTTGTTGATTGTTGGTCCGATGTTAATCTTGGAATTGCTCATCTGGGCGTCTATTGCTGGGGAGGTGTTTTTGGTCTTTTTGTTCATTTTTGTGACTTGTCGATTGTCTCTTTTGTACAGTGTGTAAATGTTTTTTATGTCTATCGATCGCCAAATAGGAAATCCCCATAGACCTCTTGAAGCAAAAAACACTGTAATAGTCTTCTGCCAATATATAGAAAAACTGCATGTCTCATAGATTGGAAAAGGTCTATCTACAGTGGAAAAGTCTACACACCCCTGTTAAAATGCCAGGTTTTGGAGATGTAAAAAATCAGACCAAGATAAATCCCATAATTTTTTTCTACCTTTAATATAACATATAAATTATACAAATGAACTGAAAAACAAATTGAAATATTTTAGAGGAAAAACTTAAAACTTACAACAATGTGGTTGCATAAGTGTGCACACCCTCTTATAAGTAGGAGTTTAGATCTAGGCAATCTCATCAAAGACAAAGATGAAAGTCAAATTGTCCAACCCGGTAGTATTACCTTATGATGTACACATGAGAGGGATATGCAAAAGCAAAAGGTAGAAGATTGGCTCCCTTGAGCTATGGTGCTGGACAAGATTGTTTTGCATTCCTTGGACAGCCAAGAGAACCAACCAGTACTAAAGGGAATCAAAGCAGAGAGTCCTGGAAGCAAGGTCATGAAACAAAAACTATCATATTTTGGACATTTCATAAAAGCTGATGCATCTATGCTGGGGAAAGTAGACAAAAGAAGAAGAGACTAACAGTGCGTGAGGGCATAGGCAGAATACCAGAAGCTACAGAGATGCACCTGCGAGAATTGCATAATGTGTGAGATAGAGAATGGCTTGGGAAACTTTTATCCATGGGGTCACCAGGAGTTGGCTAAAACTCAACAGAGCATGACAACAACAAATTCCTCTGTAATCTTAGTGGAATCCATTTTTATGTAACTTCTGTATATATTTAGTTATAAGAAAATCTGGATTTTCAATTGAACTGAAAATGCAACATTTTAAAAGATTAGTTGTTGATATACTCTACTTTTTCCTAACATGATGCTTTCCAGATGTTCAAGCTATTGTATGCTGGAAAGAAAAATGATGGCAAGAATATGTTCCTTACGTTTTACAATTAAGCCATGGTTATATAGTTCTGCACCACTAAAACTATTCCAACCATTAGTTTTTAACAAGATACTGTAGCATTTTTGTATGTTAAATGCTTTTCAGATCTCATTCATTTCTTGCTAACTTGTTTTACAGCATTATGTCAAGTCATTCTGCAGCTGCCACTCTATTTTTAATCCTCCTTACATTTTGTCTGTACAACAATATTGCCCTCAATAGAAAGCGGGATTTATTTTCTGGGCAACAACCATAGTGAACAGCTGATGGTAGTCTTTTATTTTGTGGGCCTTATGAAAGTAAAAGGATCATTAAGCGAGTAACATAAGAGCTAGATTTATTTCTGTAGTTAGAAATGCCGCAACCTCTTTTCTGCATGTTTTACATACTACAAATATAGAAGTGGAAAACTAGTTATATATTCAAAACATTTATTATAATGAATTTTGTTACTTAAAATGCATACCCATATTAAGAAACTTGAAACTGTGCTCATCTTTGTCCTAATGATACTAAACATGTGAAGAAAACACAAACACAAAACAGCAAAAGTAATCTTTAGCATCACAAAGCCCTGATTGTGGTTTTCTTGTAGAACTGTCTGTGATATTGTAGTGTTGCTACAAAAGAAGGGCAATTATACCATGGTACCAATCAGTTAATGAAGATTTATGACAGCTGTGTGCAACATGGTCCCATCACTTGATATTTTCTGAGCTATTATTTGAAACAAATAAGGGAATAACAAATTTCTGAACCAAGACATTCATTCTTTGCATTGATTCACAAGCATCAAATAAGTGTTAAATTACATAGTTAACAACTTTTTCAAATGCCTTCCTTAAGAATATAGTTATAAAGAATGATGAAGCTGTAAAGCATAATAGTTATAAAGAATGTCACAATCACAGCAATGAGCATGTGCTACCTCCTAAAAGGCAAATGTATCTACTATTCCAACCAGTTCTGTGTTCTACAAGTAATCCTTGAATTACAATGGCAGTTGGAAGCAGAATTTCTATCATTAAGCAATGCAATTGTAAAGTGTAACCATGTTGTTTATTGACAGCAATCCCTGCAGTCCAGGTTGCTGCCATTAACTGAATCCCACTATCATTAGATGAGGAAATTTCCTGTTGCCTTCCCACAACCAAAGTCATTGGTGAAGGCTCATAGGCAAGATAGTGGCTTCTGTCAACAGGGGAAGGGAGCAAGGAATGGGCAGGGGTGTTGGGAATAGTGCACAAGAGACACCCTGCACATTAGGGAGGATGCGAGAGGCACTGCATGGGTCAAGGAGAGTTTGTGAGAAGTGCTGCATGGGTTGGGGATTGTACATGGGGCTAATCGGGGGATGTGCAAGTGGCTAGTGCAGCATAAACACAGAGGGATTTGGGAAGACTGCATGATCAGGGGAGATTTACTGCAGTAATTTGTAATCTTCCCTGCTGACTTTCCCTTCAATTTTTGAGGAATCCAGCATGAAAGATTATGTGATTGCAGGACACTTGACAACTGGTCATAAGTGTGAACAAGTTGCTAAACATCCAGTCAAAGTTGCATGAACACAAAAGTGCTGGGTTGGCTGGAATTCCAAGGACCAGTCGTAACCACCATTCATTCAGTTCCATACTAACTTCAAACAGTTGCTGAACAAATGGTCATAACATGAGCCCTACCTGTATATGTTGAGTCATAAATAACAATTATTAGGCCAAATATCAAGAACATATTCATCTGTTTGCACTACTTCAAGTAATCAGAGTTTCAAAGGAATTGATGTAAGGAGGATATGTATGCATAAAGTTGAATAGTTTTATTTCTAAAGTGCTTTTCAAGTAAGTCAGAATAGGTATCTGAAGGCTTCAATTCTTTATTTATTCCAATAGGTACTAAAAGGTTTTAAACCATACAATACTATTCTACTGGTTATTCAAGGATGCTGTGCCTTCTTTGCTACCTTTATTGCTATATGAACAGTAAAAGAATGAGTTCTAAGCTATGTTCAGTTTTCTTATTTGCACTGAGTTTCCTGAGATCTACTATTTAAACTCTTTGTTTTACTCTAACAATTCCTTCAAAAATGTTCTAAAAAAGAGGGAACAATCTGTGAGCTATTAAGATTGTTGGCTGAGCAGTACAAAAATAGCCAGGGAAATTAATGAAGCCTGGGAAAGTGGCCCCTTGTCAATCAACAGGAGTGCCGATTTACCACCAGCTTATCAGGTATTTAAGAGGCAAGGACTTGGCAGCACAAGGAAAGAACAGCCAACAACTTAATAACTGGCCATCAACACTCCAAACAATGATCAAAAAGCCACATACAACCAGGCACCACATAAATATTACATATAGAATAACCCAAAGCACACATTCTGGTGAGAGAGAAGTTCCCTCAGGATGGGCTCCAGCACGAGTCCGAAAGCTCGGAAGACTAAACCTCTGGTCCCGGGACTGAGCCAGATTGAATCCTGCAACATTATCCTGGGACACACATATTTGCCTTCATTCATTGTAGCCAACTTTCCAGGTCTCTGTCTTATTACAAGTTCATTATCCTCATTCATACATCATAAATGTTTTATTTTTATCAATTTAGCATTAATAACATTAATAAGATGGAGGATAGACTTGTAGGGAAATGTGGCTTCTGATCACTTGGTCAATTTTTAGCAATTTTCCCTTTCTTGTGCCAGTCTACTTCACTGCTACATTTTCATTGGAGAAGGTTTTTTTTTATTTAAAATTTATTGCAATAGTTTTTATGCCAGCCCCCGCGCCAATATATATTTAGCTATTCATTCTCTCCCAATATTTATGAAACTTGTGACCATTCCAATAGTTATACTGAAATTTGTAGGGGCAGGGAGGGTCAGAGATTTGGATCAGTGTTTATTACATCCCAATTAGTAGGCTAATAGTTAGGGATTCAAAAAGCTATCATAATATTCTCTCTTTATAATATGCTATCTTGCTACAGATACGAAAAAGTCTTCTGACAAACTGATGGGCTGCTGCAGGTAGTTGCCTCTGGTATTATTTGTAAATAATGTAGCCTGGAGCTTAATCATCAATATGACTAATTCCTCCAGGTTGTAATGGGGGGAAATCATAGAGTATAATCCTAAACATTTACCTTGGAGCAATTTCCATTGAATTTACATCACAGAAGATCTATATTAAGTAGATAAGTCAATTATTTATAGAACATGTTTTAAACTGGTGTCTTTATAGTAATGCAGCAGAAGACTGCCCCTTATTTCATTACTACTTCTATCACTGACAGGATAATAGTAGAAAACAAATCAACTTTTTTATTTTTTAAAAAAGTTGAATTACTTCATCTCAT